TTCTTGGATAAAAACATTGAAACTGTTCACAGTGAAAATGTTAATAATGAATCTGCTTTTTTAATGTCCGATTTGGATAATTATTTACATCTTTTTAGTGATTCGTCGAGTTTGCGGCAATTGCTCGGTTATGGCATTAAAGATTATGGTCCGCACATTCAAAAGTTAAAACTTTCGATTGGGGGGAAAGCGGTCGGAGTTCATAAACGCGGACCACGGAAAAATAAAAATGTTCTTTACCACTCAGCAGACACGGCAGCAGGTGTAGAAGTTAGGCAATTATACGAAATAACTAAAAACCACAGCAACCACCGAGCCATGGTGCGAAATTGCCAAGACACGCTTTTAATGAATTGGTCGGATGAGGAAGTGGAAAAATATGGTCTTTTAAGCACTTTGACCTACAACACTCGGCAAGATAAATTTGGTTTTCGGCTGCCGCCCTGGAGTGAGGCTCCCCAGGTTTGTCCGTTTGTCATTAAGGGGAAGCCGTGTGATGGTAGTCATGGTTTTGAAAAAGTTCCCGTAGAAATTAGTTCCTTTTTAGCCGAACAACGCATTGCTAAAAAAAAGTTGGGCCGCAAATTGAAAGGGGTTAACGACCACTTTGCCGAATGGTTAAACTATGTTTATTCGCATTTTCGCCCCGTTAATTGGAAGTGATTGGCGGTAATGGAATTACACAAATGCCAAGCGGAATGTCATTGACCGATGGCCAAGCGACGGCGGATGCGGAACAAAGACCATGACGAAAAATTATGTCATTGTTCCGAAAAGCATGAATGCTGGGAGACATGACACATTCACATTTTTTCCACCAACTATTTTCCTGATTGAGTAGAACATAAAAAGTGCGGTTGAGAACTAAAAGACAGCCAGGGTAAAAGTTCGGGTTGTTGAGAACACGCCTTTGCTTTGGCTCATTCTTGGCCGTATGGTCGGGTTCATGTGAAGAAAGTAACCCAACTGAAAAACGCGGATGGGAAACCGATAAAAACCGCCGAACGAGTAATGCGTTATCTGGCCAAATATTTTATGAAGTCGTTAGCGGCTCGTCGGGATAAAGCCTATTGTCAAAAAAACGGCTTATTGCCTGGCATGGGTATTTATAAGTTTTTCAAATTTCTTTACAAATATCCTAACGGGGTTAGAGTTCCCGTGGGGCGTATTCAACGAGTAAAAAAGACCACGCAAACTTATCTTAATGACAGCCTAATTAAAGGCTACGAAGCCGAGGAAGAGTTAAGAGATTATTTTACCACCGATAAAAAAGGCGAAGTAAAGTTAAAAAGAAATTTCCGCCAAATTGCCAAGGAGAAAAATGACGGCAATTTTTCCTATGCGGAAAGAAAACAAAAGCCAAAATGGACGATAGCCGAGATAATAAAAATGTGCTTGCGTTATGCTAGTTCGGGCCGAGTAAATAAAAGCCAGACGTGGCGAAGGTGCCAAGTCGAATACGAGCAATTAGGATGTCAAATGGTTAAGGAACACCATACGGAAAAAATAACGCAGTTACAGTTTAATTTCAATGGTTACGAGGCTTATTGGTCGTTTAAGTTCCAGATTGAACCGCTTTTGAGTCAGTTAGATTTACCGAAATTTATCCCGTTTGCGGAATTTCAACCGACTAACCACGATTACTACCAATTTGCCGAAGTTAGTAGTTATCCGTGAAATGGGGAAATCCGGGAATTTCAGCCGCTTAATTGAGATACGAACGAGGAGGAAGTAATAAATAGCCCCGAGTGGCGAGTAGCCGTGCCAACCGCAGCCATTTATAATTT